TTTTGATCAGGGCTTGATGGTGGATTGGGCCGGGCAGAAAGCGAGGTGGCTGCAGAGCCGCCACAGGTGATGCAGACGATGAAGACTGTAATAACTGGTAACATGGTTGTTAAGTGAACAACAACAACAACCAAAAGCAGCCACGCTTCTTGAAGGTGGCAGCCTGAGCAGTGCAAATCAATTGTTCCGTAGAGCAAGTTGCTGGTAAGATCTTTAGGCAAGGAGGCATGTGGGGCAGCTTGCCCCCTCCGCCTCCTGGTACATGAGGAAAACAAGTAAGATCTCCCCGAAAATAAGACCTAGTGCCTTTTTTTTTGTGGCCTCAAAAATATAAGACCTGGTCTTAGTTTCGGAAAACATGGTAGCTACGTGGTAGCTATATTTAGTTGCTTTTTATTGAAGTGTCTCTTCAGCTTTCAAATTTATTGATTACCTTGCTTTACAATCAGTCGTTTTATTAGTGTTCAAAGTTACCATGGCCACTGAATGGATACTTTATGGCCTATAAAGCACATACACACCACCATCATAAATGTGTGCAATCACATGACTGCATGTCAGGCAGGCCAAGTTTACAAGCTATCGAGGTGTTCCATGATAATACTTTCAAATTAATGGGCTTGCTTAATCGCAAGCACCATTTGTTTAGCAACCATCACAAAAAAGCTGGAAATTTACTTCCAGTCATGTGGGTGCCCCAACTTACAACCAAAATAACATGACTGTAATTCCTGACTGTATCATCATTTTCTAAATAAAATGCATTCACTGAAAAATGTTGCAGTTACTCTCAGTGAGCACTAGGTTGTGCCATAACACTGCGAATGTCAAGCAGAAGACACACAGGGAATAAAACCCAGCAATTTCCCCCTTTTTATTTTTTCTAAAAAAACAAACAAAAAAAACCCCTTTTTTTAACACTACAGGGTATGTTATCTTTAAGTCCATACTGAAAACCTTACTGGATTTTTACAAGGGCACAGAAACACAAATGTAAGGAAACTGGAAGGTGCAGTTAGAGAGTACAAGGCCAAGCAAGATGCTACTTTCCAGAAAAAAAGACTGCAACTGATGTTATAATTATACGATAAAAGAGCACCTTATGACATGGTGCTACTACCATAGTATTTATATTTGGAATAAATATTACATCATTTGCTAATTTAATTGAATAGTTATATCACTTCCACCTCTAATATTTTCCAGGAGTGTAAAAATAGTATGTGCAATTATTCCCTTTAAACGGAGGTAGCATTCACAGGTTCTGACCAGTTCTGGAGAAGCAGTAGAGGAAATTTTGATTAGTTTGGATAACCAGCAAATACCACCTCTGACTGGCCCTGCCCCCATCTATTCCCTGCCTCCCATTGAGTCCCAGCTGGGTCTTATTTGTTGCCCTGCACAGGAGAATAGAGCTGGAAAGCAGGTTAATGGGATGGGGAGGGAATGGGGTTTTGCAGTAACCTTCCCCTGCCACGCCCACCAAGCCATGCCCACCAAGCCACACCATGACACATCCATCAAACCACACCCACAGAACCAGTAGTAAACTTTTTTAATCCCACCACTGCCTTTAAATATGAACTATTCCAATGATTCAATACTGTAGCTTACTTAAAAAAACGGCTGCAAGAACTGATCTTGCCAGAGCTGTTTGAAAATCTTTTCAATAGAGCAGGCTTCTTTCTAGACAATTATTGGTAGAAGATGCTCAAGCTGTCTTCATGGGGCAGAGGACTTAACAGCACTATTAGAGATGGGGAGAGAACCAAAGATAATCAGTAGAAGCCAAAGACAACAACGGTAGTGATGAAAAAAAAGCCAAAGGTTAGTTGGGCCAGAATCAAAACCACTCAGAAGTACAGGTATGGTAGTTCTTGACTTTCAAAGTTCAATTAGTGACCATTTAAAAGTTACAACAGCATTGAAAAAAAGCGACTTATGGCCATTACAGCATCCCCATGGTCATGTGATTTACATTTGGATGCTTGACAACTGGTTCATATTTATGACATTTGCAATATCCCAGGGTCATGTTGTGACTTTCTAATGAGCAAAGTCAATGGGGAATCCAGATTTTTTTTAACCTGTTACTAACTTAACCACTGCAATGATTCACTTAACAAATGTGGCAAGAAAAGCCATAAAATGAGGCAAAACTCACTTAAGAAATTTCTCACTTCACAACATAAATTTGGGGCTCAATGGTGGTCATAGGCCCTCTACAGTCCTAACCTGTACCTTTCTCGTTTTCTTATAGCCTTGTCTTATCCCTCCCTCTTCCCTGTCCATCACTCTGCCTGGAAAAATTCCTGGCTTTTCATAGCGTTGATGGCTTGTTCAGGAGTTTTGAAACTAGGCTCTGACGTTCACAGTTGAGGATACTCTGCTCAGCTACCTTGTCATCCACTCACACTTGATCCAATACTAGAGAAATGTTCTTTTTTCCCAATGAAGTGTTCACAAAAGCGTGCTAGGCTGGGGAAAAATAATTAATATCAATATCGTGACTATTAATTAAAATAAATGGCTTACAAAATAAGGTATCCTATTCGTAAAATTAACTGGTAACCCTTCAATTGATCTACCACCTGCCTATATACAACTAGTTTATCATACGTTGACATATAACCCTAACCCCTATCTCCACAGGGGTAGAAGGTTATCCAAGGCAGGCACCCGACCCTCTTCACAAAAAGGAGGACGACAAGTGTGCAGGGCTAGCATGGTGACCTCTGATCTCTCTCTCACTGGTGGGCAGTTACTTTTTCCAAAGGACAACATGAAGAACTGGGACTGTTGTGGAGGGATGCCCCCCCATCCCCCCCCATTGCCAATGCCGCTGATGCCGTGGGCTGGAGAGGGATTGTCAAAGGGCTGGATGTGGTGGGCTGTTAAATGCCCTGGTTTGCTCTCAAGTGATGACAGCAGTTTACCTTTTGCTACCCTCTATGAAAGTGGAAGTGCTTTAATTATTTCCAACTCTTGCCCATTCGTGTGTGGGTTCCCCCCCCCCCCTTATTCTAGGGTTTTCTCAGAGAATTAAGACAATGTGTACACATGATAATTATTATGTCTTGAGATTCTGCAAATGGGAAACTCCCAGCCAAATATGACCAGGTAAAGTCCTAAGATCCAGAAACAATAGTCCTTTTCTTTCTTCATTCTTGCAGAAAATGTCTCTAGTTAAATAATATTTCCATATGGACCCAACAGAAGAACCAAAAAGCATAGCAAATGAATATTTAAGTAATAACACCAAAATCGATTTGAAAGCAGATGCCAAGTTATTAGCGAAAAGAACATTCATGGATATTCTGTACTAGCGTCCCCTTGAAACTGGAAATGTGCTTTGGTTGACATTCTCACCTGGAGACAGATGGAATCGGCAAGGAACACATTTCCCCAGCTGGTTCAGAGAATGCCGATACTGCTAATCTCAAATATTTGTAAAGAGCAACAGACAGATGGGTCTCTGTTCCAATCTATTTAAATTATACATGCTTAACCCTAACTCAATTGCTACCACTTTAAACTATAGTTCTGTAATTCCTGAGCCATTATGTGTCAGCACCTAGCCAAATTTAGATGATCTGAAAAAAAATTAGGTCTTGTTTAGTCCTAAATTAAAGTTAGGGTTAGTTACTATTCGGACTCAATTTGGAGGTTTTACTTAAAATACTGGGAGGGAGGGAGGGAGATGGATGGATGATACAAATGATAGAGATAGATATGGAGATAGAGATAGATAGATGGTACAGATGATAGAGAGATATAGATAGATGGATGGATAGATGGATGGAAGGATGGATGGGTGGGTGGGTGGGTGGATGGATGGATGGACACAATGAGTAAATATCAGCTATGAACTCTGCCTTGGCGACAGGAAAGTCATCCGGCCAGTAAACACTCAACTCCATTCAGTTTCCCCGACTCCACCCCAATGTAAGGGTCATTAAAATAAAATAAAAAGGGGGGAGGGGAGAGAGATTGTTCAACAAAGGAGATTTCATTGAGAATTTTTACCCTATACAGCAGGCTTTACATTTGCCTCCTTCCTTCCCAGGTGATAGATACAACTTTAATAGGATCACCCTACATTACTTGGTTGCAGAAGGATTCCCTGTCCTCCTTTTTGCACCTACTTCCTGATTCTGAAGACATGCTACAGTCAAAAGAAAACAGGATCCTCTGTTAGGTAAGGGTTAATATATTTTTTTCTACATGATGTTGAAGAACCTAACCAGGGGTATCACTTTTGACCTATCTGGATATGAGAGTATCTGGAGGCAGTTCCATGCGAAATAAGTCTTTAGGAGTTCAGTCTTAAATGTGCATCCACCAAAATAGTTGCTTAAGAGAATATTCTCATCATTAGATTTCCCTGTTAAGAGTTGAATGGAATTTTCCCATTCGTCATAAGATACTGGACAGGGAACAGAAAAGACCGCTATAAAAACCAAGAGAAGTACATAGAGGTACAAAATGCAAAACCTTCACCCTGCCATATTTTAACCAACTTAAAAAGATTTGGTGGCTGCATTTGCACAACCTGCTTAAGCATGGTCAATTTTATTTTTAGTTACTTTCTCTTGGGGCTTATTGGTGGCTATGCAAACCCAGTCCATCTGGTTTATTTATATTTAATGTATAACTCAGAAAATGGGTTCAATCCGTGACTAGATCAAGCCGAATTTTACTGATTCAAAAGGGTTTTTAAACCCCACCCCCCACTTTCAGATAATACTGGTAGTGGGCATCTTTAAACATATGTAGTTAACAGCCAAACACCTCATAAGGTGCCACTTCTTTCAAATGTATAGAGCAGTGTTTCTCCACCGTGGCGATGTTAAGAATTCCCCTAGTCAGCCATGCTGGCTGTGGGGTTCTGGGAACTGAAGTCCAACATCTTAATATTGCCAAGGTTCAGAAACACTGGTCCAGAGCTTTGTAAGATCTAAGGTTTTTGGCAAAAATTACAAAGGTGGGAGATGATCTACCTGGATGGGTCCTACTGACATGAGCAGATTCTTCAGCTGAATGTCCGTGGTGGATGAAGAAAGCCCTTCCACTGACACCACGCAGGGCTGAGGTTTGCACTCCACCACCCGCAGATTCGGCTTACTTGGCATTAAGCGGCCTCGGCCCATCTGGCTCGCGATCCCCCTGCCTCTCCCATGCAGAATACCCTGGTGAGAAAAAAAGGATTTGATCTCGTGCTTCTGCTTACGGAGTCTGACAGATTAACACGAAAGTTGCCTATCCTCTTAGGAGGGCAGGTGACTGACGTTCCACCTGTAAACACAGCTGGTGGCCTGACAGTCATAGTTCCCTCAGATCTGCTTTCATTCAAATTATGGACCAGGAAATCCATGATCCATATCAGTATCATCGTTTCAGAGATACTTCCTTATCTAAAGAGAGAAACAGAATGAACCCCACCCCCCCACCCACCCCAAAAAAGAAAAAAGCAGCGGAACGTCCAACTTCCCGCCATTGAGTTTTCTTGCAGGAAGATGGAGGGGGAAATTCTGGAAATGAGGATCATGTGATTGTGGCTAACTGCGGCAGCACTGAAGCAGCCACAACATTGCCAAATTTCAATCCCACAGGAATCATGGGCCCTGAACTGTGGATGCTTCCTATAAGTCAGCCCTTTTGAGGTATGCCGTTTCAAAAATTGTTGCCCTATGCTGTTCCATCTAACTGAAGTTACAATCAGTGAGAGACATGAGAACTTTCACTGTACATCGATAGGACAGCATAGTGAAACTCCAATGTAACAAGAAGTTCCATCCCTAGGAAAAAAACCATCCCAAAACATGGAGGCTTGCCAAAGCAACATCTCTTTCCTTCAGGAACTCTTTATTTCCAGCAATGTCCTCAATTTAAATTAACTCTTGCCTCTTTACAGCCGCTCTGTAAGTTCCCCAAAACTCTGACATACAGTTCTGTGTAAAAGTATTATCCAGTTGTGCAAAAATGCTATAAATTAAGAATGCTTTTAGAAATAAAAGTGTTAATGATTTATTTTTTACCCATGAGCAAATAGGGAACTAAATGAACAGAAGAGAAATCCAAATATATTTGACGTAACCACCCTTCAAAACAGCATCAATTCTTCTAGGTACACTTATGCACAGTGTTTGAAATAACTCTTCGAGGTTCCTTCAAGGTTGTTACAAACATCTTGGAGATATTCGGTGGATGTAGGCTGCCTTCTGTCTCCTCATGTGATCCTAAACAAATTCAATGATGTTGAGATCAGTGCTCTTGTGAGGGCCAAACCATTACTTCCATGACTTCTTGTTTTTCTTTTACCCTGAAGATATTTCTGAATGACATTGGCCGCAAGTTTGGGGCCATTATCCTGCTGCAGAATAAATTTGGGGCCAACCACACACCTCCCTAATGGTATGACATGATGGATAAGTATCTGCCTGTATTTATAGCACTGAGGACACCATTGTTCCTGATCAAATCTCCATTTGCAGAAATGCAGTCCCAAACTTGCAAGGAACCTTCACCATGCTCCACTTGCCTGTATGCTCTCCAGTCCTTCGGCAAACAAATCGGCTCTTGCTACAGCCAGTATTTCAAATTTTGGGTCATCACTCTAGAGCACCTGCTGCCATTTTTCTGCACCCCATTCCTAGTTTTTCATGCTTAGTTTAGTCCAGAAATATTTCACAAGAAGAGTTCTCCACTCCTCTACTCATTGCAGAATACCTTATGCCACCAGACTTGAAACTCTAGACCTAGAAAACCTAGAACTATGCCGCCTCTGGTCCGATCTAAGTATAGTATATAAAATCATACATTGCAATTTCCTACCAGTCAATGAATACTTCAGCTTCAACCATAACAACACAAGAGCAAACAATAGATACAAACTCAAGGTTAATCACACCAAACTTGATTGCAGAAAATACGACTTCAGCAACAGAGTGGTCAATGTTTGGAGTACTCTACCTGACTCTGTGGTTTCTTCCCCAAACCCCAAAAACTTTAACCTTAGACTGTCTACTATTGACCTCACCCCCTTCCTAAGAGGCCTGTAGGGGGCGTGCATAAGCACACCAATTGTGCCTACAGTCCCTGTCCTATTGTTTATTTTTCTTATAAGTATCTATCTCATGTATTCAAAACTATATTTATTCTTATACCTGTATCTTGTAAGCGATTGACAAATCAAATAAATACTAAAAAAAACATACTCTTAGCCTTGTTTCCCTCAGAGGTATGGCTTTTTGGCTTCAATTCTTCCATAAAGACTACTTCTGGCCAGACTTCTCCCAAAGTTTCTGGTTTCTGCCAGTTCTGTGCTGATGGTACAGCTGGGCATTTTCTGATGTCGAAGGGAAGCAAACATGATGTTTCTTTCATCTGTTGTATTAAGTCTCCTTGGCTGACCACTGTGACTATGGTCTTCAACATTGCCCATTTCTTTGTGCTTCATCAGAAGAGCTTGAACAGCACATCTTAAAACTCTAAGTCTGGTTTGAAATCTTTGCCTGGGAGAGGCCTTGCTGATGCAGTATAACTACTTTTTGTTCCTGTGCTCAATTTTACCATGGGGTGTACAATTGCCCTCCACAACCTCACGTTAGTAGCAGAGTTTGGCTGTTCCTTACCCTGATTTAAGCCTCCTACTATTTCAGTTAATGACTGTGTTTCAACCCCCTTAGGAAATTGATGTCAATTAGTACCTGCTTGATATAATTGGTATAATACACCTGACTCTAATTCTACAAAATCCCTGATTTTGTGCAAGAGTAAGAATTGAAGCTGTTTTGAAGGCAAAGAGTGATCAATACCAAATATTGATTTGATTTGCATTTCTCTTCTGTTCATTTACTTTCCATTTTATTAATTGATAAAAAATAAATCATTAGCACTTCTATTTCTGAAAACATTCTTAATTTACTGCATAATATGTTTGCACAATACTGTACATTAAGGTAACAAACATGCATGGCTTACAAAAAGTGGGCTCCTAAGCCATTTTCTATTATCATATGAAATTACACACTAGCAAAGATCTTACAAAAGGATTTGAGATCAAGGGTCCCCAATATAGTTATCTGCAGTGTTAGAATACATCAATTCTGTTTGGTGCTTCTCAAGATGTTAAAAATTGGAATCCAACTAATCAGATACCGGAATGTTACCTGACAACCAGCATTCACATGGGAATGTTTTCATCGTCCATAGCTTTATCTGAAGTCAAAACAGCAATCACAAATCTATACCACCAAGAGAAATTCTTTTTCTGCTACGTCAATAGCTAGTGTAGTTAACAAATTCAGCATCTCAGTAACCCTGAAAAGTTATTTCTTCAAGCAACTAATGAAGATATCAGTACAAACCAGAATCAATACCTTTTTCACTTGATGTATCCCTGGGATATTTTTTAGTCCTTGAGGAAACGTAGAATGAATCTGTGACAGAAGATGCTGATGAGGCTGATGTGGTTGCTGCACTGTCCCCTTTGTCAGTGTGACCTTCCGTACTGGCTGATGTCTCTGCTCCGATGGCTGTGGAAGCTGAGGAGGAGATTCTTCCAAATGAGAAAAGCCAATGTTCTCACCACCCTGTAAGAGATTTAAAACATTTTGCTTAAGACATTAAAAAGAAAAAGAAAATCTACCCTGTGTTTTTGGCAACAACTACTATAGAATAGAGCTTGGATAACTGATTAAGAAGTATTAAGATCATGCTTTATTCAGAAGAGAATGTGCATGGCTTCCTAAAATTGAGAGAGGGTTAAATCCTGCGTGATTTATTCCTTGCGAGTTAAAAATCACAGAGTTTTTTTTCTTCAATAGACATATATGTGAATCAAACGCTAGTACAACTTTCCACAATGTGGATTCCTTCTAGTTCTGGGGCTCTTAACTTTCAGAATTTTCAGTCAATGTAACTTTATAACAAAATGCTGGGGAACCTGTTGCCTTCAAGTCCCGCTTATGGCATGAAGGCATTTCACACTGTTGACTGTCAACATTTGGAGATATACCGTACACAAAATGAAAAACGTGTTTTGATTCAAGCATGAATCAAACGCATTCTGGCTCATGGCACACCTTTCCAGGAAATCAGAATCTGTCCAAACTAAATCCAGGTAGCTAGTTTCCCTATCAGATGGCTCCTTCATCTGACGGGCAAACTAGAGGAAGGTTGACAAGCCTGTCTCTGTACCAGCCTGCTCATCAATATTTCCAGCATCTTCCTTTACCTTACACACTACTGCACCAGAAAGGTATATCTATCCAGACCCCCAATTTTCCTCGGTTTTTTTTTTAAGCCCATGGTCACCTTCTGTCAGGAGCAAGAAACCAGAATAGTACAGGGAACTGAACACAATGTTTATTGCTGTTCATCTGTTGACAAAAGTCTCACCAGATTCATGCGCTCACTATAGAATTGCTAGATAAATACTGCAAAGTTTTAAAGAAGATCTCCTTTTTCCACCTCATCATCTATTCAAGGATAGCCAACTTTTTTACTCATCCCCTCAACTCAGGTCCAGATTGGACTACACTTGCTTCCCATCTTAATGTCTATGATCTTCCCACAATCTTATCTTGTCTTATCCCTCCCTGTTTTAGCCACTGCCTCTTAACCTGGAGCATTTTGCCAGCACGCATGCCTTCAAGATCTGTGCCCAGATAAGCTCTTAATAATTTTGGTATGGATATGGTCTGTGATGACCCTTAGTCTCTCAAAATAACCCCAAACCCAAAACATACATTAAAGTCCGGTAAGGCCTTCAACTTAACTTCACTGTTTTATTAGGCACAGTTTAAAGTCACAAAAGTAAATAATGAGGCAAAAAGAAAACCAAAACAAACCGCATTGAGGAGAGTTCCGAAGCAAGCCAAGATAACTAATCATACATTCTAGGAAAATAACCGAGGAGAGTCCATGGAAAGAACGCCAGCAAAGATAAACCTCTTTCAAAGTAAACACTAAACTTTGACTCCAGCAATTCTGACTACACAGTTACAAACTTATTTATATACATAGCTCTGAGCTGCAAACGACGAGGAAGATCATGGTAATCTCCTCCTGAGTAGACCTTGCTTTTTACTGATCCTCTCCTCCCTGCGTGACCTAGGATGGATAGGGGATGGGCCTGGATCCTCCTCTGACTGCTCAGCCGGCCTCTGCCCTTCCCCAGCCTCCTCCACCACCTCTGGAGCCACACTCCCACTCCCTGTTGGCTGTTCCTCCTCTTCCTCAGAGTCAGTCTCCACCAGGGGCATGACATGGACCATCCAAAATAACAGAATGTTTTGCTCATCCCTAAGGGAAATATAAGGTTGCTAGATTAACATGAGTTATGATTTTGGTCTGATCCAGGCAGGCTACTGTCTTTCTGTACCAGGCAGACCTTTTCTAATTATGATTGTTCAAAGAAAATCAAGTCAACCAATGGTTATGTGATGTGTTCCTTAAGAAACCTCTTGAGGAAATGGCATTCTGTTATTCACGACTGAAATATTCATCCCAAAATCTGTGGATAAATTAAAACCAACACAATTCTAAAAAAAGCTGTAAACTTTGCAAAGACCTATGTGTTTTAAACAGACATGACAAACTGAAGATAAGAATTAAGTATATTCTAAGAGACTTTCCCTCTCTAATACTTTATTCTACTTCTTAAAATATCTTAATTGAAGTTGAAGTAACCACAATGAAATCTTTCTACAATGGTTATCATTCCACGGAAGTTTAAAACGGCATTTATATAGCAGCAGAGAAATGTAATATATCCCTGCTGGTAAATAAACACACTTTCCTACTTTGAACTAAAAATATTAAATCCCTCCTCAGAAACTCATATTTGTATTATTTTTGAATGACAAGCCAAGAGTAGGATTAGGCAAGCTGATCTATCAGAAGTAAAGCTCAGCAAGAGTGCCCTTGTCATAGCATGCCTTGAACTGTTGGTCTGAAAATAAAAGATCCTGCAAATCTAGAGTGTTAAAAAAATTAAAATTCAAGAAATGATATATTTGCACTTTGTAAATATTTATATTATAAGTGGACATATATCTTTACACAATTTCTGTAGGCTAACACTTCATTACATGGTTTAAAAACTAAGATTGTTATTAATCATCTTTATTAATTTCAGTTGAAAAGGCAAGAAATTAAATGAGTAAGATTCAGAAGCTTCCAATTCCACTATTTATTTTTAGAAAGGTAATCCCTGATCATGCTTTATTAGGAAGGACGTTAATAAATAAGAGAAATGAAGGAGCACAAGAATTTTGTAAGCTGTACTTTTCTCACAAATACCTTGACAGCTTCACAATGAAGATGAAGTCAGTTGGCTATCAATATTAGCTGGACAATTTTATTTATAACAAATGCTTTGAGGATGTCCTGATAAAATACTGCCCCATTGATACTGTCAGAGCTTCTTGCAATTTGACAGATCAAATCTTATTCTAATTCTTAAAACCGCACAAATAAACGGTATCGCTCGTGCGCATTCTGTAGTGAGCAAATTGATTAATCCCTTTCTATAGAAATCTCAACTCTTGATTACACCTATCAGACGTTAAGCACCATTATTCCAAGTGACAACACTTGACAAATTCCCTAACCATCTCTCTCAGCCTTTGTACCCCTGCTAGCTTGTATTAACCCTGATGAAAAATTAATTTTCCTTATCTTCAACTAAGCCCCAAAATCCAAATCCACCAAACTGGCAACTCTTTCTGTAAAGGTATTATGAAAACCTCTAAAAGATTAATTGCATGTCTTCAGGTGACATTAAATTAATTTCTATACTCATGATAGACATTTGATACTCAGCACTGAGAGGACAGATAACATTGTCAGGATACACAGAAGGACAGTGGTGGAGTGTCCCAGGGCAGCCTCTTATGAATTCTCCTTTCGATAAGGCCATACTTCACTGTCATTGACACTGTTACCGATCTTGCAGCCTCAGACCTCACTGCACAGGTTTCTATTAACCGTGACAATGCTGTGTTTATCCATGTAATCTTTGCTAAAGCAAATTCAAATAACCACCCTAACAGTGAGAGGGATGTTCATGCTGGTTAAAGCATTTAAAGAAAATAAACTTGGCCTGATTTGTGAAATATTGCATTGCAGGAACTGCAAACACAACTCTGAACTCCTAACTTGGGGAAATGAGTTAACAATCTAAGGAAGACAAGGTACATTTTAGTTTCTATACTGGGGACCATAACAAACTGTACCACAACCATATTCCCATTAAAAATCACCTGACAAGATTTAATAAATGGCTTGCTTTCCTCAACAATCATTGCTTTTTTAAAAAAAAAAAAAAATGAAAGCTAGGCTGGAAAGAAACTACTGAAACCAATTAATGGTGCAAATGTTGTTAGCAGCATGAAGTCTACATTCAATAAAATAAATGTAAAACCCAAAAGTGTAAGAACACTACAAAGCTAGCAACTATTTCATCACATTTGAATACGTCTCAAAGGTGCTTTTTCTAAAAGGTAAGTGGACTTTTTTAGTTCTTTTTTTTAATTTGAAAACATTTTACTTCTCATCCAAGAAGGGGGAAATTCAATCAGTTAGAATTGAAGAAGCCTCTTGAATGACAAATGTTTTCAAAGGGAAAAAAACCCTAAGAAAGTCCAGTTGCCTTTTCGGAAAACCACTTCGGAATGGATGATTAAGAATCTCCATAGACATCTGAATGCTTGTATTAATGAACTCACCAAAACCAATATCATGGCAAGTAAATTAAAGAAGTCTTCATGTTCGAACACTTTTGCAATCTGAGACTTAAATAAAAGGATATTCTTCTATCTGCTTTTAAGGTCAATGTGAGAAGATCGGAAATGAATTCATTTTGGATACCCTCAAGGTAGCAATCAAAGTCCAGATTCAGACTTATACCAGCCTTTCCCCAAAGACATCCTTCAGAAATATAGTACCATATTTATGATACTCAAAATTAGGATTTCGTGTATTAGTGTAGGATGAAAGAATATATTCTGATTTCCTTTTCTTTTGTCCACACTTTCCGAGGGCACAAAATAGTTTTTGTCTTAAACGTGTTGCTGGAAAATAGAGGAGCTTGTTTTGTACTTGTGTATGAGAACCATATATATTAAACACATAGATTTTCAGCACTTGAATAACGAAGATACATAAAGGAAGTTTTACTAAATGTACAAAATGAATTTCTGTTATTTCCACAAGGCATTCCCATATATAGTCAGGGTATAGTTAGGACACACTTCAACACCTTCCTACATTTTTTACAATCAGCTGAAGATAGTAAATGTCTTCAGTGTTACCCAATAAATGGCCCATTAATAGAGATGTACTGATGTATATTTGCTGATCACTATGACTGCAGAAACATGTATGGTCCCTGCCATTGTAGCCATAAAAATATATATTTTTGAAAATGTTACATTTTATATAGCTGTTCCTTGAAACTGATGGTGATTATGCAAACATTCTTCCTGCCTGTTGCTCAATTAAGTTGTTTTCATCACATGAAATTATAGGAAGCAAGATAAAATAAGCGACTTGCAACACTTCAGAAAGTGCAATGTGAGATCTATTT